CTCCATGCAAAGCATGCATAGTGTCCAATCAAAACAAAATGCTTTCATGTTCATGTCATTCATCCAATTATATATGAGCTTTTAAGAGAATCTTATGAGTTCTACAATCGTTCATTTTAGAAGATATTTCCAATGAATGATTACTTGAGAAGAAAAATATTTTTATATAAAAATGATGATGTAGCTTCATCCTTTTTTATGCTTTAAAATTGATATATGAACCTTCTCAAAAATATTCTTGGTCAATCTATCTAAATTTTAATACATTAACTTCAATTCATTCATCATCAAAGATCTATAAGATGATAAATCAAGTTAGTTATTCAGAAACTACAACAATATTGGTCGAATCTATACCATTATAAGATCACCATCACTGGTCATCGATCATTGGTCAACTACTCAGCTCAACCCCAATCTCTTTGGTGGGTCAATCAGGCCAACTTGAGGATGGGATATGTTCTTTAATCATTGACGACGAATTATGTCACATTCATTATTAATGAAATAAGGAATATTCCAATGTAACATGAGGCAATGATTAAAAAATCTCCACCAAATATTATAAATAGATCATATTTCAACTTATTTTGGACAATTTAAACTCTAAAATCATAGAGAATTTCAAAATTCATAACACTATTGGTTCATCCAACCCCTTTTCTCTTTTAAGGATGGTAATCCAAGTTGCCTTTAGTTACTCACCAACTCCACCATTCATGAGAAGGATGATCATATGACTCTCTACAACACATAAATTGCATATGCTTCGGGTCAACCCAGTAAATTGACGGGTCGCTCTGTGTCTGATATTCTTACCCATTTGCAAAATCAGGTCGGATTCGGGTCAGCCTATATGGACCTGGGTTAATTTCATGTTTGACCCGAACTAGACCCTAAACCCGATTTTGACACCTCTAGGCGGATGGGTGGTAGTGGTTTGATTGCAATAAAGAAATGGTGGTTTAATGGTGGCAGTCAAGCTGTGTTCCAACGAAAACAGTCATGCGATGGTCTAATGGTATTGGTCTAATGGTTTTGGTCGAGTAGTGGTCCATCAGTGCTACTTGGATGGAGCTATGAGGTTTTTCAAGTCTCTAAGTTCACTTCAATCTCAAGCTAAGGTTCAAGCTCCCCTTCATGTAAAGATGGGGCTTATTTGTAAATTTTTTAGGGTGAAATATCCTATAAATATATCAAAAATTCATAACACACCATCGAACGACCCGCATAAGATCCCCTAATCATTGGTCGTTCTTTCATAATTTTAGTACATTAATGATGTAAGTACTAGATGATTTTAAGTTCATTGTATTCATACCGCGAAGATGCTCGATGTGTCTTTAAATATGCAAGATTTATAGATCGTTTGGTATTTTAATTATTGTATCAAAACTTTTTAATTATGATTCAGGTGCATGATTTGAGCTCACTCTTATTTGAATCGAACAACTTTTGGTGTTGCTGAGTTCAGGCTTATCAAGATATGCAAATTGATTGTATGTTTGTTGAAAACATAGTTCAAATGGTCCTTAATTTAATTTTAGAAGATTACAATTTAAATATGCTTTGAGATTTGTGTGCCAATAAGTTGATTTTTTATTAGCATTAAGAATATATATTATTATTTTAATAATTTGCATACCTTCGTTAAACTTAATCAGTCTCCACAAAATTAGGGAGTATCCACCACTCTTTATGCTCACTATGCCTATTAACAAAATCTTTGGCCTAAAAAATCATACTTATACTTGAGTTTTTACACTAAGTTAAAAGTCCTAGAGGAAGAGTATTTATAGGAAGCAAGTTGATTGAAGAAGATCCCCTCGATGACTATGACATAGGCATATACTAGTGAATCTAATCAATATTAATAGGAGGACCAATGTCAAGTGGAAGGAAGGTTGATACCACACAACGTATATCAAACTATTAACTTACTTGAATCCGATTATTCTTGAAAGGGATGTGAGTTCATGATAGAAAGTCAATATTAAAATATAAATATTCTTCATAACATGACTTCAAATCTATACTAAAAGTCACCACATGATGATGATCTTTTGATTAGTAGAGGTTGCAAGCAACAATAACTTTTGAGTTAGGATCAAAGCAAAATCCTCCTTATGGTATGAATAGCAATCTACCTGATATTTCAACTAGTTGGGCAGATCAAAGGACTTAGCAGTTTAAAGATCTTATACACTCAACTCGATATGAAGTTGCATCAATTAACTACTTAGATCCTATCAATACTTAAAATCAGTAACATTCTATCGAAAATGATTTGAACCGAATGAAGCTGCCTAAAATTTTGAAGTAAATTTCAAATTTATACAATATTCACCAGTCTAATTAATTGATAAGAGTAGATAATTTTCTCAATTTTGAAATAAGACTTTTATGTCTTCTTCAACTAAATAAATGCTACTTATTTGAATTAGCTCTGTCATGAATAAAAGTAAATAATATTTATGAACTATTCTTCTCAAATTGCTTTTCATGACCCGGTCAATAGGTCAACTAACGGGGCCGTCACTTTGGTTCTATTTTAATCAATTAATTTTTTTTTTCTTTTGCAGGAGCAACAATTGCCTTTTTATTTTGTATTTAGAGCAACTATTATTATTATTTTTAAATAAGTTTGCAGATCTATCAAATTTTAAATTAATCGGAATACAACTCATGACTAGTTATTTACATATGTTGCTTGTAATGCCTCTCATGTATGCAACCTTTCTGGGATTGCCACATACCGGAAATCTATTATAGAAACGATAAGAGATAGGTGAATCGTTGGTAAGTAAATTATTTAAATAAAAATAAATGAAAATAATTTTTTTGCTTACAATAGCAACGTCATCAAGCCTTATGGGGTCTGCTATATGAATCTTTTTATACATTGTTTTCGATTCAAAGTCAAATTATTATTTAAATCTAATTAAAAAATTATTTTTCATACTTTCTAGTCAAGTCTTTTTAGATCTTTGGGTCGATGTGTATTGATATATCAGCAACAATTTATCTTAATCGGGCACGAATCTTGAGACAAAATTGAGTTCAAAGCTTTCGAAGTTAAATATAGGACCATCCAAATTTCGATTTCAGTAAACTTATAGTCAAACTAAACGTCTAGGAAATATGAACCTAGCAACACCAAAATAAGTCAAATCCAAGCCCAAATCAAGGGTCCAAAACATATTTGGAGGGTTCAAAGTATAATTTGGATGACCAAACGAATTCAAAATGTGACATACTTATAGTCAAATCAAGCGGCCCGATGAGACGATTCCAACAAGCCTAAGATCACAAAATTCTAATATCATTAAAACATTCAAATAATTAATAAAGGACCAACGATCAAAGGGATCAATATTAGAATTCCATTCAAACCACTCCCATCTTAGCCTAGATCCTCCCCATATTTACAAGTGCCACTCTAGAAAAACTATAAATATGCCCTCGTTCTTCACATGTGAGGAGAGGAAAGAAGGAGAAAATTTGGGGAGCTCGCTTGCCACCGACCATCACTGGACTTTTGCTTATTCGTTAACTACTTCCGGACTTCCGCTTGTTTGTCGACCATCGCCAGAGTTCCTCCCGACCTCTATCACCTACCGACTACGGTCTTTCCAACCACCATTACCAACTACGATCCTTCCGACCACCATCACCCATTTACTACGGTCCTTCTGACCACCATCGTCTGCCGACTACGGTTCTTTCGACCACTGTCACCTGCCGACTACGGTCCTTCTGACCACTGTCTCCAATTACTGTCCTTTCTGATCTCTATCATCTGTCGAATATGATCCTTCTGACTAATGTTGACGGACTACGATATTTTCAACCTTCTTCGCCCGCCGACTACGGTCCTCCAACCACCATCGCCAACTACGGTCCTTCTAACCTCCATCTCCCGTTGACTACAGTCCTCCTGACCTTTGTTTCTGACCTCTATCGCCCGCCGACTATGGTCCTTCTAACCACCATGCCCAACTTTGGTCCTTCCGACCACCGTCACCTGACTAATGCCTTTACGATCTCCGTGGCCTGACTACGTACAAACTTTCCAACCACCATCATCTGACTATGATATGATGTATATTTGCTACATCAAGCCAAGGCTTTCCTCCTAAGGATGGGCCTCATTTGTAGTCAATTGCAAACATTAGTGAATTCATTCAAATTGGGTCAGACCCCGTGGTTTTTCTTCTTTTTAGGGGTTTCACGTAAAAAGTTTAATGTCTCTTATAAACATTGCATCCCTCCTTGTTTATCTATTTGCATGTTGGGTCTTCGTATAAGACTACGATGCTAAACTTTGTATTTTCTCTACCGCCGTGAATATTTCGAGACGCAACATGTATCATAGAAATCAAAGCTTTAAATCACTACTATAGTGTAACTATTTTGGACTTTTGAGTGAATTTGATGCAAACTCATACAAAGCACATATGTTTTTTTTTTAATTTGAGTCATTAAGGCTTCGTTTGGATATCTGATACCTTTTGTAAAAGATAGTTTCAAAATGTTGGTTGAGAAAATGGAGGTTTTTATCAGTGAATCAAATATAAAAAAACTTCTCAAAACAGTAGAAAATTGACGTTCCGTGAAATACATTTCTACAGAAGCGTCACATACAAACGTAAATAAAAAAGTATTGTGCCGTTTTGAAAAAGGAATGGTAAAATTAATCCGTCACAAATAATATCTAAGTTAAACTCATCCATATATCACATACGGCAAATTTAGAATACATGACCTTTTAATTAGTAACCAAAACTTTCAAATAACAAATCAAAATGAGCTGGGTGCATCACATATTTGAGCTTAGAACTCAAGATTTTTTAATTAATAGCTTAAGCTCCAAATCAACTCATCAACATAGGTTGCATCTACCTAAAATTCTTTTAAAGAAATGAGGCTCTTATATTAATTTATTTATATAAATAAAACTTATATAATTATGGTTAAAAGTTTTTTTTTAAATGAAGGTACTCAAGCGACAACCGGGGCTATGTACACCCCTCGGTTGCCTCCCTGCTATTTCTCGGAAGTTGCGCAAGGGCTACGAAGCAATAGAGGCGAGAGAGGGAGGAAGCGCGAGAGGGAAAGAGAAAGAGGAAGAGGCCGTGTTTCGCGTGAGGTTGTAAAAGTCGCTCCTTTCCTATTTTTTATAATTTAGTATTCTCGATTAAAAAAGTCTATTTTTCAACAAACGATGGGAGAAAGTATAGGGTTTTGATTGCTGGAAGGTGGCAAATATTGCCGGAAAATAGACCTTTTGATCGGGATGGAGAGGAGGAGGATATGGATGAGCTCCTTGTTGGTTGTGCTGGTTGTTCTCTCCTTCGAGATACTTGCCCTCTGCGATTCTTTTGAAGAAGAAGGTATGCTTTTTCTTTTCAATTTTTTGGATTTGTGGTTTGGGATTTGGGCAGGATTTTACTGTTTTTGTTTTGGATGCAGGGAGGGCTCTGTTGAGATTTAGAGAAGGGGTGACGTTCGATCCATATGGAGCTCTTTCGAACTGGGGAAAACAAGGTGTTGATCACTGTTTCTGGCATGGCGTAGTTTGCTCTGAAGATGGGAGAGTTGTGTCTCTGTGAGTATTCCTACTTCTGATCGATATCCTGATATTTATTTTGTATTAATAGATATAAATCTTATTGCCGATCCAAAATAATTTGTATGGAGTAATGATGATGATGAGATATTCATCATATTGGAGTTTTGATGATTGATTTTAGGTGTAGTCACAGCTAGAAGTGAATGCAATACGACTAAATTTGTTCTCTTTGATGTGTAATTCCTTATGCTGATAATTTTCCATCGTTTAAGTGCATAATTCTTGAATTTTAAACGCAGTCTATATGGAAAGCTATGAGAGTTTCATTATAAGCTCAAGCATAATTTAGAAACTCGTGAATTTGGTTTGTGGTGAAGATAATTCAATAAACAGGGTAGATTGTTGTAATATTTTGATCATGTTATGAAGTAAAAAATCAATTAAACATACTTTTTTAATCACTCTGATTCGTCAACTTGAGAAAGCTTGCTTATGGTTTCAATCACCTTGAATTTTTCATCTAGCTGATATAATATTAGTTGAATGCTTATGAATGTATCTTTAAGCTTATATTGTCTCATTCTTATTTTGGTATTTCTTTTTGCTGATGGAGACTCAGGCTTCGTATGGGACGGCTTTTTTATTGCTTCTTAAAATAGCTTCTTAGTACAAAAATTAGGAAGTTGCTTTAAGAAGTATAAAAAAAGCCATCCCAAACGAAGCCTTAAAGTGGAATATAGCGGTTTAAAGGTTTGTTTTGGTTCTATGACACTATGTATATGTGCATCTGCTTTTGTTCAAAAATGATTCTCCTTTGGGCTATAATTTTATGCTCTTCTCTTATTGTTATATTTTATTTCTGCCACAGGAATTTGAGAGATCTTTGTCTTGAAGGAAGCTTCACATTAGAGTTCAGAAAACTCATTTATTTGAAGTTACTGTAAGCATCTCTAATTTATCATTTGATTGTAATGTTAATACATATCTAAAGTTAAACCTCAAGAATGTTTGCATCTTTACTGTTAACAATTTTATTGGTAAAGAAATTATGATTCTATGGTGATGACTTGCTGACATTGTTCCAGTCTTATCCCAGTATTATCCCAGCATTTAAGCTGATAAAAATGAACTTAGGGGCACGAAGCCCTTAATTTTGGAGCTACATCTGCCATTTTCCCAGTGAATTTAAATGTTATATTGAGTGTTATGCATTATTTTGAATAATTGAAGGAAAACATCAGAAGCAAAATGGAAATGGGAGTTTGTGTAGAGAAATATGGTTGCTAGTGTCTTTGTCATCTATTCTAACTGGCTAACCAGCAATAATACTTGACTTACTGAAAGCCAGACTTGGAAAAATAAAATGAAGTATAGGGAGTGATTATAATACTTGGTTATTGTTTGTTATCTGGAGTTTGGTCATTTTCATTTTTGTTTATCTTTTTTATCTTTTTTATTTTATTTTATCTTTTTTATTTTATTTCATTTATTTTTTTTATTTTTGATGAATCAGTGACCTACACAACAATTCATTTTTTGGAACTATACCTGGAGAAATAACTGAATTGAGGGAGCTGGAGGTGTTGGACTTGGGGCAAAATAATTTCAGCGGACTATTTCCATTTAAGCTTCTCGCTCTTACTTCCCTAAAAGTACTGTAAGTAGAGACTATGAAACTTCACTATTTTTTCCTAGTCCTTCTAATACTAACATTGTGTCTATTTTCACGTATATTTTGCTTCAGTGTTCTTGGAAATAACGGTTTCGATATCCCATCAGAACTTCATGAACTCGATATACTTTCTGAGTTTCAGGTTGATGAAGATATGCTATGTTCCAATAGGGGATCTCTTATGAGGTAAGGAAACATGAATGTCATTATATATAAAATGGCCATATTTATAGGTTTATTCATTAGTTTTGGCGTCTACTTAAAATAAAATATGATATTATAAAATTAATTGATGTGCTTCTGTTTCAATTGTTCTGTTCAATGGTTGCATTTATGATTTTTTTTTCTCAGGCAGTAGTTTGCATCAGATCCATAATTTCTTTGTTATTATAGTTACATTATCATCCCTTGAACTTCAAAATCTTATAACATGCTCCCCGAAACAGCCTTAATAATTTCCAAGTGCTCCTACCATCAATTCAAAATTGTAATTCATACATTGAAATTATGTGATTTTTTTTTGCTGGTATTATTTGTAGAATTCAAGTTGGATGGTTGAAGCGGAGAAATCTATCGGGCTTGTTGTGTGATAGAAAAGTCCCCCTCAATCTTTAAGGGAAAATTCTATAAGATGGTGGTTAGACCTGCAATGCTTTATGGTGCAAAATGTTGGCCATTAAAAGAGAAGCATAATATTAAGTTAAATGTTGCAAAGATGAGGATGCTCAGGTGGATGAGTGGCATTACTCTTGGAGACATGATACGAAATGAGCATATACGTGAAAGGTTGGAGTAGCTCCAATGGAAGATAAGATTAGAGAGTTCGCCTTAGATGGTTTGGTCACATAAAACGGTAGTCTTCCGATGACCCAGTTAGGAAAGTAGATGTATTAGATTTGACTTATGTTAAGAAGGGTAGAGATAGACCAAAAAAGACTTGGTTAAAAAATATTAGTAATGACCACCTTTCTTTATTAGATTTAAATGAGAATTTAACTTTTTAACACGGCACAATGGAGAAAACGGATTCATATAGTCGACCCTACAAAGTGGGATAAATGCTTGATGTTGTTGTTGTTGTTGGTATTATTTTCTAATATTTAATAGATGGAACTGCAGTTTGATAAGCTTTCTGTCAATTTCATAATTTAACAAATAAGAATCTTCTGTAGATATAAGATCTTTTAGTCCTGCCAAATCTATTCCAAAAAACTGCTTTACACACGTCTTGGAACTTGATGTAAAAAAATAGCAAAAGAAAATAGATTTTTAACTTTTTTTCATGTTATTATCATTATCTAACTTAACTTTACATCCCCTTAAAATGCTTTCACTTGCTTTGGATACCATTAAGTTCTGAATTTATATAAATCGTTAGGAATATTTGGTGCTAGAAAAAAGAGATTGATGACAATTCTTGTGACCTAAACTGGGGATCTGATCTCTGATAGGAACTTTGAAAGTGAAACTATAAGAAGACTTCTGCAAGACAATATTACACAAAAAAGCAAACATCCTCTGCGTGAAAGGCGCCGTCATACTGGAGATGTGGAAACTGCTCCATCGCCATCTCCGATCCAGCCTCCGTCACCGTCTCCTCTTTCAGTGTCAATATCCCAATTTCCATTAATATCTCATGGTGCTCAATCTCATACACCTATTGGTCCTCCATCTCCTGCTCCATCACCAGACAAATCCCAATCATCATCAGCTCCAGCACCAAGTCAATCTTTTCATAGATTGGCACAGCCTTCTAAGTCTGAATCGGTACCAGAAAAAGCTAATGAGAAACAGAAGAAGTCCCACTGGGTGATCTATGTATCAGTTGGAACTGGAGTATTATTGCTTGTTGCTGCATTTTCAATATACTTTCTATGCTGTCGAACAAACAAAGTTGTATCTGTGATGCCTTGGAAAACCGGTTTAAGTGGACAATTGCAGAAAGCATTAGTTACAGGTTGGCTTTAGTTTCGATATTTACGATGTTCTAATTAATTCCCTCATCTATCTCATGGGAATTTTCCAATGCAGGTATACCGTCGCTTAATCGATCCGAACTTGAAACAGCTTGTGAAGATTTCAGCAATATCGTTGAGACTTTATCAGGTTGCTCAGTTTACAAAGGGACACTATCAAGCGGAGTTGAAATAGCAGTTACTTTAAGTTTGATCAAGTCAGCAAAAGATTGGTCTGATCAATCTGAGCTCCTGTTCAGGGAAAAGGTTTGTCAAATTTGATATCTATATTTCTACATATATATTTGATATTTGATATTTGGTTTCCAACAGCTATATATTGGTTTTAATTTCAGATCTCAGTCCTGTCCAAAGTGAACCACAAGAACTTTATGAATCTCATCGGATATTGCGAGCAACAAGAACCTTTCACTCGAATGATGGTTTTTGAATATGCTCCAAATGGAACACTTTTTGAGCATCTACATAGTAAGCACCTTTGTACAATATACTCTTATTTTTCTTCTATGTTTTCTGATCACTTGACTTGTTGAAATCAAACAGTAAAAGAAGCAGAACCTTTGGACTGGACTGCTCGATTACGTGTCGCCATGGGAATCGCATATTGCCTGGAGCACATGCACAAGCTTGACCCTCCTATAATTCTCAGGAACCTAAATTCATCCATTGTCTACTTAACCGAAGACTATGCCGCCAAAATCGCCGATCTTTCGTTCTGGAACGAAGAAAAGGAAACCGACTTATCGTACGAAGTTCCAGACGACATAGAGCCGCCATTATCAAATCAGGAAGACATTGTGTACAAGTTTGGAATAATGCTCTTGGAGCTAATATCCGGAAGGCTACCATTTTCAAAAGATGATGGCCTGCTTGTTCTGTGGGCATCATCATACTTAACTGGAAAGAGGCCACTTAATGGTATTGTTGATTTAACACTTAAAGAATCAGTAAGAGAGGAAGATATAACTGCATTTTGTGATATTATCCGCTCCTGCATAAATCATGTACCAAAGGAGCGAGCAACAATGGCTGATGTGGTTGCCCAGTTGAGGCAAATGACTTCAATGACACCTGATGCAGCTTCTCCGAAATTATCTCCTCTTTGGTGGGCAGAGCTTGAGATCATTTCCAGTGAGTCTAATTGATTTGAATTTGGCTGAAATTGTGAATAGAAACCATTTTCTTTTTGTTTTGATTTGTTAATGCATGATTTATTTTGATATTTTGTATTTAAATTCTTATGATTTGTGGGAATGAAAAGAGATTGTACAGAGTACTCGGTGCGCAGGCTCATCGCAGTCTGATTCTTCACTGCTACTTGCGCAGAATGTTGAGAAGATGGGAGTCTTTCTTTTTCATTTTGCAGAGGAGAGGGAGAAACTTTGTGCAATGAAAAGAGATTTTTTTTTAATGGATTTTTTATTGTATATGACAATCATTTATATCTGTTTTTCATTAATTAAACTTCTGTCTCTTTTTAATATGGCTGAATCATTTATCAGATTCTGCTGTTGAACTTAACTTCATAGCTATCATAAATTATAAATTTAATCAAAATAAAACCATAATGCCTAAGACAGGGGTGGAACCCGTTTGAGCCCGGGGGACAATTGCCTCCCCAAAATTTTTTTTATACGATTCTTTAGGTAATTTGTCCCCCTCAATCCATTTTTTATTTTTTATTACAAGGGTTTTTAGGTAATTTCCCCTCAAAAATTTTAAAATATTATGATCTTTAGGCAATTGTCTCCAATATAACTAAATACATTATGTAGAAGCATTATTGTTAGAGAACGATGAATAAAATACAAAGAAAAATAATAAATCAAAATTTGTTTCTATTGTGCTGCCCCTAGAAACTCCTGCAGGGGTGTTGCCCCTTGAACTGGCAGGTTGAACTCCTCCAGGGGCGTTGGCCCCTTGGACTCCAGCGTGAAAATTATAGCTGGTTTTGCCCTTGGCCTAAGATAATTATTATATGGTACCTTCCTTCTAAAATAATTACAAAAAACATTGTACCTATTTGTTATATGGGGTTATATCTATAATTAATAGAATAAGGTAAAGTTTGAAGTAATAACCAAAATATAAAATTAATGTAAGGGGGAACACAAAAGAATGCTAAGTGGCAATTTAAGTTGAAAGAAGTTAGGTCGTGCAAAGTAAATAAGGTTATTTGCATTCAAATTTAGTGTTGTTTAAATGGGAATAAATTGAAGCTATTCCGTGTCTAAGACGCGGAGCTGGTAAGCAAATTGTGGCCCCGGTAGCGAATACTAATTGTAGAATGCACAGGTTGAATAAAAAAAATGGGTTTCCTCTCAACTAGAAGAAGAAATAGTTATAAGGATTCATTTGATTCTGGCGTGTCCAACAAGATTGACTAAATTAGCATGGTCAATAACATTCAATGTGCCAGTTCACTCAAATTAAGTTAATTTAAGAAGATTTATGTTTCATTTGAGATGAATTTTTTATTACTTTATAAAATTAATGTTAGAAAAAATAAATTTTTTAAATCATTATAGAAAGCAGTTTACTAATTTAGTTTTTTTTATGAAAATAACAAAAAAAATAGTGATCATGTAGAAATTATGATTATGATCTGAAAAATAAAATAATAAGAAGCTATCTCAAACAAAATTTAATTCACCTGATCTTTTTGTATTCTTGAAAGAGTAAGATAATTAGGAAACCAATGTATAGTCGCATAGGTTAAGTTAATTAAGGCATAGGTAAAGTTAATTAAGGCATCGTTTGGGACTACTTTCTTACTATTTTTTAAAGTAGCTTTCTAGTATAAAAATTGAAAATTTTCTAATGAAAAACTACTTTAAGAAACAATAAAAAAATTGTCTCGAATGAAACCTAAGTCAAGAACTCAACATATAAATCTTAGGATTTTGCAAGTAGTAAGCCATGAAGTCGCCTAAAGCTATAAATCACTAAAAAAAACGCATCTTATTAGCCCTCAAAAGGAATGACTCTACTCGCCTCTAAAACTCTACATATTTAAGTTGCCAACTCGCAATGTTTATTTGCAACTCATTCAATGGAACTCACATGTCAATTAAAGGTACTTATTCATCTAAAGAATTCTTCAAGGAAAAAGAAATAAGGGGAATTAGCGTGTCGGCTCTGCTAGGGTTTCTTGTTGCGATCTTCTGGCCACCCTCTTCGCTTCGCCGGGGAGGATCTCCTCCGGGATGTCCTCCTTTTTTCCTCCTCTCATCCCCTCTCCCAACAACCCTTCCTTCTCAACTGATCTTCCCAAAGATTGGAAGAGTCTCATCGCTACTCAACCTCTAGTGTTGAATGAGTTCACCTCTTCGATTTCCCACTTCCCGACTAAAAAAGCCACTGCTCATTTCACATCTGCCCAGTTCAACGCCGGATCTCCCGAATGGGCTCCTTCAATGGTTGGATATTCCATCGGTCGTAGACCTTACTACGAAGCCCAACTTTCCGCGATAAAAAAAAAAAAAAAAAAAAAAAAAAAAAAAACTAGTCCCTAAAGGGTACTCTCTCTTTGCTCACTTTGGATGATGGCTTCTTCCTCCTCAAGTTTAATAACAGGGAGGACTATGACATGGCTTGGTCCGGCAGACCATGGTTCTTTTTCGGAAAGCCTTTCATATTGCAAAAATGGACGCCGGATTTTGTCCCCAAGCGCGAAGAATTCCCTTCGATCCATCTCTGGATCAAAATCAAGAATTTTCCCCTCTCTTGTTGGACTCCGGAGGGGATATCCAAAATCGCGAGTTGCATTGGGATTCCACTGGCTGTGGATGCTCTCACTGCTGCAAAAACTATACTTACCTTTGCTAGGATATATGTCCAGGTGAGCATTACTTCTCCCCTATCTGATGAGATTTATTATACCGTTGATGGGAAAGTTTTTTCCCTAGCCGTGCTTTACGACTGGAAACCCTCCCACTATTCGTTCTGTAACTCTATAATGCATGCCCGCACCGCCTGCCATCAAAACCCCAACCCGCAAGCCCCACAAGTTGAACCATCCAGACCTCGTGGCAGGAGTTCTTGCTGCAAGCCGCGCAAGGTTCCACCAAGACTAAATATCCCTAAACCTCCACAACCTCTTGTCTCCCAGCCACCTTTTCCACCTCTTTCCAACCTTACCAGCTGCCACCAACCCCTGGCCACCCAAACCGTGATACCCAACCTCAATTCCCCTTATACAAATACTCCCTCTCAATCCCCCAATTTCATCCACCTCAAACTTCCAGTCTTTACAGATGCAGCTCCTAAAAAATCTCCATCTATCCCAACCACTAACAAATTTGCTATACTATCGAATCAGACTTATCCTTCCACTAACCAGACCCCAAACCTTGTAATTCCTCCTTCCCCTGTCTCAGGCTGTTTGGACAAGCATGCTAAGGCAGGTGGTGGGGTCAATCTGGGCAGTACAAATCAAGGAAATGAAAAGCAACCACCTTCGCAACCACAAACACTACAGGAAAATCACTGATTTCCGGCGCATTTCCGACGGCTTTTTCCCAATGAATTTTCCGGCGGAATTTCCGGCGGCTTTTAAAAATTTAATGAAAATGAATAATTTTTTTACTATTTAAATGGTTTAACAAAAAATTATTAAAACTTACATTAATAATTTAATTAATTTTCATTTTAAAATTAATTAGTTAGTTAATTTTTATTTTATATTAAATTTTATTTTTTCTTTTAAATTAAATTGTTTCATTTTTTAAAATAATTAAAAAACTAATTGATTTTTGTCTGAATATACTTTAAATAAAAAAAGAAGACCACCACCCCAACCTCTAAGTCCCAATGATCAGTCCTCCCCTTATGATGGCCTGGAACACCCGTGGGTTCAACAGCCCAGACAAAGCTTTGTGTTGCAAAAACCTTGTTAACAACTACAACCTTGACCTCCTTTTCATATTGGAAACTAGAATTTCTACCCCCAACACTAACAATAGCTGGTTTCTATCAACCCACTCCATTTTTCCCAATGAAGGCTCCTATGACAATTTTGTTTGCTCCTATCCTGGCAGGATTTTGATTAAATGGAACTAAATTAAGGTGAGTTTCAGGCCACTTTTTACTTCGAATAAGTTGATACACTGCATTGTGTCCTCAGGTCCTAACGAAACTTACTATATTTATGTGGTTTATGCATCAAACTCTATGTAGGAAAGGAGAATGCTCTGGAATAAAAATTCTAATCCGGCCACTTCCATTTCCAATCCTTGGATTATTTTAGGGGATTTCAATTGTTGCAGATTCCCACATGAAAAAGCGGGTGGTACTCTGCTTTCCAACAATAAACTTTTAGATTTCAACAATCTTATATTTAATATTGGAGCGCATGAACTATCTTCGGTGGGTCATTATTTCACTTGGTTTAATCAGAGAATTGAAAACCCCATACATACAAACTTGACAGGATGTTGGTCAATGATACATGGCTTGAAACTTACCCCAACTCCTTTTATACTGTGGACGCCCACATATATCTGACCATTCCCTCATTATTCTGCAGTATGATCTCAACCCTCAACAGAAACACAGATTTTAGTTCAAGAATTATTGGGTCTCTAAGCTTGAGTTTTGGGACGAACTCATTTCTGTTTCTCCCAAAAAATTCACAGCAGTCATATTCATTCTTTCTACCAAAAGCTCAAGATGCTCAAGCATAGCATTAAGACCAAGAATTGGTCTTCTTCAAACTCTCTTCATCAAGATATCACTGAACTTAGCTCCAACCAAAACTCTATCCTTAATTAGCTTCAGGTTTCTCCCCTTGATCCTGAACTTAATATGGTCTTAAAAACCATCAACCTCAAGCTTTCTGAGAGAAATTATGATTGGACCGATTGGATCACTCAAAGAGCTAAAGCTAAGTGGATGTCTTGTGGGGAAGATGACCTCAAATTCCTCTATTCTCGGATTAATGCTAGACATAATATCAACTTGATCACAACTATCTCCACGGCTGATGGGGTTTTCAACATATCGAATGAGATTTCTAATGTAATTATCCACCATTTCCAAAAGCTTTTTAACAATCCCTTTTCCCTTAACACCAATGGCTGGGATGCTCCTATTCAACTCAAGCTACCACCTAATCTTGTTCCACAATTAACTACCCCAATTACTATGGATGAGATTAAGAATGTTGTTTTCTCCTCCCCTAACTCATCTGCTCATGGGCCAGATGGTTACACCTTTAAATTTTACAAAGCCTCTTGGAACATTATTGGCAAACAACTTTGTGAGGCTATCCTATCCTTTTTTTTCTATTGG